TACGTTAGATAATAGCATATTATTATCTTATTAATTGGAGAAGGGAGTGTATATTTTGCTGTTCTGTTAAAAAAGCATTATAGAATTTCTTCCTCCTTTTTTCTTCTATTTTTTTCAAGCAGCTGAGAAATGATATTATATAAATTATATACTTTCGTAATTCATTTTCAAAGAGTTGGACTTTTATCTGATTCTTTAGCAACAGGCCTGTATAAAACGTAGTGGAGGGGGAAAAAAAACCCCTGGGTTTTCTTTTCTTAAATTGACAATTTATCTAAAACCAGCTATGCTGACCCCTTTTCCCTACCAAGTTCCTTTCAGAGTCGAACTTCATTCCAGTGGCTATTCCTCTGGGAATATCCAAAGATAAATTACCCTCACTTGGAAAAAAAAAAAAAAGCAATAGCACCAATCTTTTAGAGAAGATTACATACATAAACTGTAAATAAAGTACAAAATCTACAGCAATAAAACTGATTAAAAAGCACATCAAGGGACTGTTGCATTTGAGGCCAAGGCCAACTCATCTTTGACACATCTTCATCTCCAGAAGACAGAGATGGCATTCTATTCGCCATATTGTCAGGAGATGCGTGCGTACATGGGCAAGTTGGCTTGATCACTGTTGCATCCTGTCCATTTTTCCCAGTATGCCCATTCACTTGTAGCCTAACACACAGCTGCAAAGTTGAGATCGGCTTCACCTCCTCCATCTCTGGGAAAGCATGGAGAGGGTCTTGCTAGCAACAAGCTAGAGGGGGAGAGAATAATTGGGAGAACAGGCTTCCCCATGCCTTTGTAACTCACCACTTCAAGACACCTTCCACCCAGTCCAACCAAAGGGGGATCCAACCAGGATGGCTGTGTTCAGGATGCAAGACAATGGCCACTTTGGGAAAGAAGAGCACAGGCCGGAAGCAGGAGGGCTGCAGACTCTCATAGCAGGCCTTCCCAGCAAGGGAATGCACCTCTAGACACAAAGGATGTGACACACATGTCTATGGAGATTCTCAATCATCCAGGTCATGGTTGTCCCAGAGGTGCTTTTCCAAAAGGCAACTGGATTTTCTTGGGGTTTTTTTTCTTGAAAACATTTTGCTTCTCATCCAAGAAGCTTCTTCAGTTCTTCATACCCGTCTTGCACGAAAAGCAAAACATTTCCAAGAGGGGGGAAAAACCCCAAGAAAACCCAGTTGCCTTTTGGAAAAGCGTGACACATACGCACTTCTGATGTGACCTGAAGCTTGAATCTGGAGAGCTTTCCATCAAGGCTGTTGCTCAGCCAGCACTCAAGACCTGCCTTCTGAAACTGTCTCCAATCGGCACCAGCCTTCCACACTTTCTTATATCTCCTGCCCAGGGGCCTTGGGTTTTTCCCTAGCCTCACCGTCTTCCCCCAGAGGGAGCTTTAAGAGTAGTGAATATCAACTCAAATAATGTTTGATTGAAAGACCCTACATTGTCAGGCTTCACAATTAACTGGAAAACACCAAATGCCAATTGCTTTTTTCTTCTTTGTCTTCTTCTAGGACAGAACACATTTATTTAATCCATTTTAGCTTGTTTTCCATTAAAAGCTGAGGCTGAACTAAATTTGCGCTAATTGCAGCTTCTTATAAGATGGTGACCTGTGCCAAATTGAAGGCAAAACATTTTTCCCCCTTTAAGAACTGCCAATATAATTTTTATTTCTTGCCAGAATAGGAAATAATTTTCAGGCATTGCTGCATCTTCCGAAGAGACAGATTCTGCCAAGTTTCAGATGATTAAGTTCAAAGGTTTTATATTACTATTCCACAACAATCAAACCAAATATTGGTGTTCTCATGAAATGAGAAATGCTGCCCTATTAGTTCTCTGCCACAGGCAAAGGGCAAAAAAATAGTTCTGTTTTGTAATAAAATGTGCTTTTATATCATAAATGTTATGCTTAATTGCATAATATAACACTTTTCGGTTTCAACTCACTAGAGGCTTTTGGATCAATGGAATGAAAAGATATCAGTGTTTCAGCCTTTGTGATAATGAACTAGTGACAAGCTGAGTTAAGACACTGGTCTAAATAAGCGAAGGTGATCAGATACCAGATCAAGTTCCCCTTCCCTTACCCCTAAAGTATAACATCACTAAAGCCAAGTAGCAACATCCTGTTGAAAGAAGTCTTCATCAGGGTCCAGTCCAAGCCGGGAATAAACAAAATGGAGACTGCTTTAGAACAAAGGCTGTAGTTTATTGAAGAGCAGAGCCAGATGGAGGACTCTGGGAAGGGGAGCACATGGAACAGGGAGTGGTGGGTTTTTATATCTTCTTGGGGTGTTTGGAGTTGTTCCTGTGGCATGAACTTTGACCTGAGGTTCAGTGTGCATTGCTGGTATTCTGATGGTGGTGGGTTAATCCTATTATATCCTAAAGGTCATATCCTGCTTCCCTGTGGCTGTGGCTGATGGCTATGTCCTGTGTTGGATTTTTTTGGGGTGAGGGGTTGTTAGTTCTAGGGATCTTTGTCTTTCTAATCCCATCAGCTCTAAGCTTCCTGGTGCCAGTCTTTCTGAAAGGATTATCATATTTGCATTTCTACAGAGCTGGTCTCTGCTTAGGTGAGGGAGATTTGGGGCTATTAAGAAAAACTGGGCATGCTTTTCTGCCTTTTTAAGATCCCTTGAGAAAATATAATATTCTGCCTTTTTAATATTTCCTTCTCTGGAGGGGTGACTTCCCACAATCCTTTTTGAAAATTCCTGTGCCATAGTCCAGAGGCCCCCAACCTTTTGAGCACCAGGGACCGGTTCTGTGGAGAGAAGTTTTTCCGTGGAAGAGACGGGGCGTGGTTTCATGTGCTGCCTGCATCCCAGGGATGGGGCTTCACTTGTTTGCACAGCCCAGTTGCTGGTATGCCATGGCCTGGTGCCGGTCCATGGACCAGGGATTGGGGACCCCTGCCATAGCCCATCAAGTTAGGAGAAGAGGCAGACTGAGCCTAGACTAGTTCCCACAAGTGCTCCAAATCCAGTCCCCTTGAATTCAGTTGATTCTTATCAGCCAATTTAGTACTGACCATTACTTGACTAGATTCTTATGTATAGGCTTAAGCAATAAATCTTCTTTACTGGGACTTAACATATAGTCCTGATTTTTTGCACCTGACATCAGGAGGTTTTTAATCCTGTATTTCTCTTAGATTGACTATAACCAGGGCTTTTTTTTCTCATAGAATGCCCAGAACGGATTTCTGGCATCTTTTTTGGATGGAACCTTGTAGAGTAGGCAAGGCAGGTTGTATGACGTGTGTGAGTTCCAGCACCTTTTTTTTTTTTTTTTTTAGAAAAAAAAGCACTGACTGTAACAACCACCGAAAACCTAGAAATTCTACTTGGAAGCATTCATAAATACTGACATTACCTTTAACATGGTCTGTTTAATAAGCCACAATTGGCTGAATTCAGATATCATACTAAACCATCCATTATCATACCATTTTAAATATCAGTAGAATATATTGATCCAAACCAAACATACCTTATAATCAATTTAGCATGATGTCTCTCCATCTAATAGATAGTGTAAGATTAGGCCTCAAGTCAAGATCAATTCTTTCACAGACTATATTAAGATGATTTTCTTGGCAATAGCATAACAGAAACAGTTTGCCACCTCTATCTTTAAGAGTTTTGTTTCAGCTTCCCAGTCCAGTCTATATTTCAGAGATTTCCTAATGTTCTTATATCCAGTTTTTTTTAAAGGAAATTGGTTGACTGAGTGCTTCCACTTGCTTATAAATTAATGATGAGTAGCTACTGATAATTAGCCCCAATAGTTAGGCCATTAGCATTATTCTCACATGATGGGGAATTAGGTGAATAATATACACATTGTTGACATATCTAAGACCATTTCATAACAACATGGCTAGGATATCAGTTAAGTCAGATACTTAAAGGAACATTAAATGCAGGGTTAAAAGCTGGCTGAGGAATTCTGGGAGTTGAAGTCCACAAATCTTAAAGTTGCCAAGGTTGAGGACCCCTGATTAAATGGATAATCTCAATGCCATAAACCAAATAAAATTTTATGATAAACCCATTGCTTCTTTTTCACTAATGGTCTGTCTGTCCATCCATGTATCTATCCATCCATCTTTTTGTTTCCTGGTAAGGAGAAAAGTGCCCAGTTCCAGTTCGACTTCAACAGTTCCCACATTCTTCTTTTATAACACAAAATAAATTAAGGATTGGAAGTTCATGCTAGATTCCAAGCCTGAAATAAACCCGATTCGAATCAATAACGCCAACTTCAACAGAGCATAGCTGTGAATATTTGGCAACAGGCTTCTGTGTTAATTCTTTGGTCTTCGTTAATATCCTTCTCGACCATTAAGATATGATGGGGGGGGGGTCCCCTTATCTTACAAATGCAAAGGTTGTCCGTCGCCTTAGATTCAGAAAAGCAAATCTCCCTCGCTTACAAGCCCTGCTTGACCTCCACCCAGCCCACGCATACACAACCGAAGAAGTCAAGAGGGGCTCCTTTGAACAAAGAACCCAAATCGCCCTCACAGCCTCTCCAAGCTCCTGAAATCCATCTTAAAATCGGGGAGGACTGAACCATTTTCTTCCAAATTGATCGATCTGCTCTTGTAGGACCCAGGAGAGAAAGGGAAGGAGAGGGGAGGTCGGGAGAGAGGGGGGGGGGAAGGACCCTTTCCTTCTCATTAATTCACTAATGACCAAAGCACGATCGCCTCCCTCGTTTAAAATAAGCCCGCTCTGGTGAAAAAAAATAACAACAATCTACCTCCCCCTCCCGTACCCCATTCTTGGGAGGGGGGGACGGAGGGGGGGGGAAAGGCGGTGTTATTTATAAACAGCCCTGGCTGCAATTTGCAGAGAGCTTTCTGGCTCGGCCGAGGATGCTGCAGCTTTAAGAGAAGGGATCAAGGCTGATTGGACCTAAAGGAGAGGGGTGGGGGGGATGGGGGAAAGAAGGGGAGGAGTGAGCGGCGAACGCGGGGGAGAGAAAATGGGCATCTTTTCTGGGCTTCTCCGGAGGGATGGCTGGGGTTTAGAAGAAAGAAGCGCCCGCTGGAGCTAGGCGGGGGCTCGTCCCTGGGACCGGCAAGCCAGCTTGGTCAAAGCGGGTGAGTAACACGCGCGGTGTCATTCAAGAACTTCACTCGCGTCCGTCCCGCTCGTGTAAACTGCCTTTCTGCTTCACCCCTTGCACTTTTTCTTTCTTTCTTTCTTTCTTTTTTTCAACTCTGGTACGATCTTCTTTGGTTGGGAAATATAGGAAAACATACATTTCGCAACTCTTCTGCAACTTCTTTCGGCAATAGTTTTCGGGGTAGCGAGCTGATCCTCTCTCTCTCTCTCTCTCTCTCTCTCTCTCTCTCTCTCTTCCACCCCACGCGGATTATTCATTCCTGCGCTTACTCTCCCCGTAAGCGTGATGCATTCGGGCACTATTCTCGAGGCAACCTATTTCGGCCACGGGTGCTGGCGAGACCGATCTTCAAAGGTCCACTTTTTCGAGAAAAGGCGTTTGGGGTTTTTTTGGGGGGGGGGTGTTGGTTTTTTTTTTTTTTTAAAGAGCCCGATTCAATAACGCCCCAGAGGACAAAGCCTTGGAAGGGAGCGGGCTGGATGCAAAGATGCAAAACCAGCCTTTCGAAACAGCGCTTCCGTAGCATAAACAAATTCGAATTAGGAATAGTCATTTTAATTAATCATGGTTTGTATAAGTAGGTTTGGAATTTGGGGGAGGAGAATGAAAATCTGAACCTGTTCAGGTGTGAAGGGAAAACAGAGTTAGGAAGAAAAACATAATGCCAAACAAGTGGCAAGCTGGTGAGAATAAACTGGTCAAATCCTTACAAACTTAGTCAAATGACTGTAAGGATGCTTCTCTGGATTAGGATTTGTGCAGGTAACATGCTATTAGAGTTGGTGGTAGAAGGTCAAGCCACACAATTTCTTGCTGTAAGCTTAAAGAAACAATGCTGATAACAAACAATTGAGAAATCAGATATTTAGCAACTTCTGTAGTTAATGATGTGAAAGAAGCAAAACTAATCCTCTGAAGATCCTCTAACAGTGGATCCTAATCCTTACAAGTTTATCCCATATTATCTGTTATTCCTTAAGGTACAGCATGATTCTTGTGCAGTTGTGGACCAGTTGTTGTGAACCTAGCATAGCCAGCTTAGCTGAAAATTTTAAGAAATGAAAGCAATCTTCTCGTTTCAGGATGAGCTTTGCTTCTGTAGACATTGCATGCAACTTGGCTCTTGAACGTGATCATGTGACACCTTTGCCACATAGCTAGCTTGCAACGCTGGGGGGGGGGTTGTTTTAGATGTGACAACTTTCCAGCACCAAGGCAACTTTCGTTTCACAAGGGAGAACGTAGTGTTCTGTCAAATCTGGGCTTTCATCACCTGTGGGGGTGTTGATCCAGTGTGTGGAAGTTGTCATCATGCTGTTACTGTATTTCAGCCTGTTTGTGATAGTGTAGTACAGAGGGAAGAGTGCTGCAGCTGGAAAGTGTGGTTAAAAAAAAAATAAAAAGAACTGCAACTGCATACACCATGTAATGAATTATGCAGGGATTTACACCTTCCAAATTCTCAGCAGATGTGTTCAACTTGCAAACTCACTGAATCTGTATTGACATAATACTAAAAGAACGCTGGAAATGTTCTTTATTCTTTGGCTCTTGGTATACAAAGTATTGGAATGGTGAAAAGGAGATGAATTCTGTGTTTGTATTATGAACAGATAAGATTCAGTATATTTTTCATGCTTCTCCGTTAACTAACATGCTGAATACATCTTAATATGGATCTCAGTAAGCAAACGCATAGGGAGTAGGAAGAATGAAAGTTATAAATCAGTGGTTCTCAGCCTTTTTAATGCCGCGACCCCCAACCGGTCGTAAGTCGAGGACTACTCAACCGGTCGTAAGTCGAGGACTACTCAACTGGTGCAGCACTATTTGCAGAATGGGACTTTTGGCGGGCTCAGCAGGGCAGAGACAGCCTGGACAATTCCTATTGGCTTTTGAAAGCCAATAGAATTAGACTCTATTCAAGAGAGTCTATTCTATTGGCTTTCAAAAGCCAATAGAATAAAAGGGAGTAGCACAGCTAAGGAAAAGGGGAAAAAAATGGCGGACTGCATTGTTTGGCGACCCCCGTGAAATGGTCGCCAAACAAGTCACATACTGTAAAATGGCTTGCTTCATTCTAGTGTAGCTTATTCTGCAAACCTAGGCAATTGTGATCTATCATCCAGGTTTGTGTATTACTGTGTGCCAGACTAGCAAACTGGTTTTATTAATAACCAATGATCAAAAACCCAGGGCTGAATACCATGTGCAAATCTTGTGGGGCTCCAGGAGTATAAACTATTGCCATTATAACAATAACAGATTAAGTATGTATTAAATGATACAAGAAAAAAGGATCCTAAATGAAATATTGGATTCCCAAGACCCCTTAAATTGATTCAGAAAGAATGGCTTCTGAAATGCCACAGTAAGACTGCATAGAAGCCCTTTTCTGTGCAATTATTCTATGATTATTTGAGTTAATTATTCTATGATTTGATTCTACAATTTAATTATTATAATAATTCTATAGTTATTCCTTCCTATTCATTATTTGTATGTAAATGGGCAGAATTTTGGTTATGTTCTATAGTAGACCAGTTCTTAAACAGGGGAGATTATACCAAAGGGATCATTTGAGCTTATCCTAGGCTAATGGACTAATGTTTAATTAGTTGTCTGTGAGTTGAGGATCCCGTTTGGGACTGCTGCTATGCTTGAATAACACAACACTCTGGGTTTTGAGGCTGGGGGTGGTGATGGTATTATTTGAGACTGAGGACAGGAGTAATTGGGTCAAACAATTTAAGATCTAAATTAAGCTTTGGCTTTCCTGAATTGCACATTCAAATAATAGTTCCTGTTCTACCGATTATGTACTTTGTTGAGATGCAAGAAATTCGAAGCTGGTGCCTTTGTCCAAGAGGTTCTTGTTTCATTTAGACATGATTATTGTTATCTTTGGGGCCATCTGACCCAGGCCATCTCCATTTCACAGAGGCCAAGAAGGTAGGATGAGAATCCCTCCCCTAGGAGAGGTTAAGGGGACAGAATCAAAATTCAAAATTCAGAAATCATGTTCTTTTAAAGGGCTGTTGGGGCTTGGGAATGCAATTTAGCAGTCAATCCATGAAAAAATATTTACTTAGCTAAGAAGTCATGTGGTTGGTGTTAACTTCGATTTTAATGTTTAACGGTTTACTGTGGTATGTGATTTTTACCCTATTGTGAATAATCTAGAATCGTTTGCTGGAGGTAGCATACGTGTTCCTTTATGTATAAATAAACATTTATGCCTAAATCCAATCCAGCGTGAAAACTAGTATGTTTCAGCAATTGAGGTGGGAAATTTGGATCAGGTGCACTCAGGTTCAAGTCTATATTCAATCATAGAATCCACGGGATAATTGGGGCCAGTTATTTTCTCCAAGCCCACTGAGCTTCACTTTCAAACATCATTAGTAGTCTAATCCTGAATAGCCAAAATAATCAAGGCATGGCTGAATTGATAAGGCTGAACTGAATCTGAGTTCCCTCCCACTCAAAAATGAGGGATTTTTTTGAGCTCCAATTGAATTCTGTTATGTATAAATGCTGTTTTAATTATGGTCTGCTGCATATTATTAGCTGGATTCACTCATAGCACTTAAGGTGTAAATTATGGTTTTCCAAATTGCATGGCTGGGATCACGCTAATCCAAAACCAAAAAGACCTAAAGTAAGACTTACCAAGATGTGCCGTTATCAAGTACACAATATACTAGAAATTACTTAGAAGTATATCTCAATTTCGCACCAGTGTTATGTGTATTTCCTTAGAGAAGGAATATTTTGTCCTTTTTTTTGCTTTATTTCTTCTTGGCTGCAGGAGGGGGTTATTTTTTTCACCTTACCTCCCTTGGTTCTGCCTACCAAAAATAAAAGTCAGCCCCTTTCCAAAAGATCCCTATTTTAACTATGATCATTCCCTAAATCTAAAATGATAGATTTTTGTAATCATAGTTTAAGTGATTATTAGTACTTGAGCTTTAGGAGAAGCCTTATGTGGATATTGAAATCTTTTTTTAAAGTAAGTGAGTCATATTTTTAGGAAGTTTCACCCATCTGTGTCTTAGTAAATATACAGCTTTAATTCACTGTAATGGGACTCTGCATTAATGTCCAAAATAAACAAGCTATGTCCTACCTAGACAGTACAAACAACAACTATAAGGTCCTGACCCTGAAATTGTAGTTGTCTATACTGTCTTGCAATCAATAAGCTTTCTGCAAAGACTCATGTGTACATAATTGGGACCTCAGTTGAATGCTATTTAGAGAAACTAGCAAGGGAGAATTAAAAAATGTGCATAGCAGCTTTGTTTCATTCATCGTCTTGATGCTCATTTTCAAAATCAAATTGGAAACTAACCCTCTGTGTACATTAAAATGTGTCTTGCACAACTGTGCCCACTGCCTGGGGTCAGTAGGGTCAAATATTCCATAATACTGGTAAGTAGGAACAGCTTGCATTAAGTGTAGGCAGAAAAAAGGTCAATACCCTTGAACGAAAAGGCTATGAACATTACACTGGACATATAACTAATTTACCATGTCACTAGAAGCCAAGATTCTGGAGAATAAAATGCAAATCAAGTTTGAAAAAGGCATACTTTATTTTATAGATCTGGGTTGTATGTAGCTTTGTCACCCCAGTACTAATTTGGGGGTGAGCCATTTATACTTTGCTGTGGCTATTTTGATACCCTGTCTTAGATCAAGGAATGGATATGTCACAACAATTATAATGCGCAAATCAAATGATGTTGCAGTGGAGAAATGACCCTGACTGTTGGTCCATCTATGCTTGTGTGGTCTGTTGTGATTAAATATATTTGTCCCAAATCTTGGGTAAGAGTTCAACAGTATAAGTAGATTTAGGCAGAAAGAGGGTTATCTGCATGTAACCTTCTTTCGTCAAAATAATGAATGCATCTTGATGCTGCAAGCTTCTCCCTTTCACACATACACTTGACATTATAACACATGTAG